TTGTTTTCCAAAATGGCAGCTGCAACTCGTTTGTGCAAGCGTAGTACTTGGCGCATGCGCGAACAAGTTATGGCCGCCATTTTGTTTTCCAGTATATGGCAAACCTATCATGGGGTTTTCTTGGCAACATTTGTTCAGAGAGGGTTTGCCATTGCCTTCCCCTGAGGCTAAGAGCATGTGACTTGCCCAATGTCACCCAGTGGGCTTCAGGCTGAGCAGAGAATCAAACCCTAGTCTCTAGAGTCATAGTCCAATGTTCAAACCACTACACCATGCTGGCTCTTAAGCTACTATTCCTAAATTGGTGTCATCTGCAAATCTGATAAGCATGGCCTCTATTCCTTCACTTAAGTCACTGATAAAAATGTTGAATAGCACTGGGCCCAGGAGAGATCTCTGTGGCACTCCACTGGTCACTCCAGGATGAAGAGGAGCCATTGCTGAGCATCCGCTGGGTTTGGTTGATCACTAGAAATCCACCTAACAGTATTATCCAGCCAACATTTTTACTAGCTTATTTGCAAGAATGGGGAACCTTGTTGAAGGCCTTACTGAAATTGAGATATGCTACATTCACAGCATTTCTTTCATTTATCAGGCTGATAATTTAAACCAGGGGTCGGCAACCTTCCCTTAATAATAATAATAATAATAATAATAATAATAATAATAATAATAAATTTTATTTGTAACCCGCCCCTCTGCAGAGCAATCGGGGCGGCGTACAACAGGATAAAATACAACAATTAAAATCCAAATTCTTATTCCCTCCACCCACTACCCTCCCCCTTAAAATAGTATTAAACTTAATAAGATTAAAATCTATGTATAACAGATATAAAATATTAAAAGAACAAACAATAAGATGCCTCCCTCGGTAGAGAGACCAGGGATAAGTGGCTCCAATATACATATCCCTATAGAAAGTTATTCTGGGAAGGCCTGCTGGAAAAGCTCCGTCTTAACTGCTTTCTTAAAGGTGGTAAGGGACGTAATAAGACATATCTGATCCAGCAGGCCATTACCTGGGGCCAGTCCCTTCCAGTGGTCCCTTCCGGCAGGCCGGGGGGGATGGCAGCGCGTGTGTGACCCCCACCGCCACGTATACTGGCGCCACCGCCACCGCGTACCACCGCCTCCGCGCATGTTTGCATGCACAAACAAGCCACGGCCACCATTTTGGCAAACAAAATGGCGGCCATGAGGTGTGCGGCTGCGTGGCAGCCAAAACGCATGACGGCAGTGGCGGTTGGCGGGGGCCGGTAAGTGGGGGTCCATGGGCCAGATGCGGCACGCGAGCCGTAGGTTGCCGACCCCTGATTTAGACTCAGGTCTAATCTGCATTGTAGAAATAATGCAGCTTGACAGCACTTAAACTGCCATGGCTCAATCGATGGAATTCTGTGATTTGTAGGTTTGTGAGATATTTTAGCTTTCTCTGTCAGAGCTTTGGCCCCTCCCAAACTACAAATCCCAGAATTCCATAGGATGGAGCCATGGCAATTAAAGCAGTGTCAAACTGCATTATTTCTGCAGTGTAGATTAGACCTACAGTCCACCAAAAGCAACAGGACTCACTCCCTGATAAATGTGTGTCCTTAATGATTTTCAAATCTTTGGCATGCTCCCAGAATGTTAAGGTCTGTGTCACTTTGGGGCTGCTCTGAGCTTGGCTGTACCAATGTTGGTTTCTGCTGTATTAGTTTTATGGCTTTATAGTTCTGATTTCTATTCATATATTTTAATTCTTAGGGGAAAATGCCCAGTGAACATAGGTTTTTGGGCTGCATATAAATATTGTAAATAACTGAAACATATTTTTAAAATATTTGAAATTTTAGAACATTTAAACATAAAACAAATATCGTCCTGAGGGGGCCTCCCCTCTGGTGCCTTGGCCGGCTTGCCTGGAGTGCCTGGGGTGGGTAGTTTGTCTGTGTGCACGCACTGCTCTCGCTCCTCTGATACTTTGGCTGACTTGTCTGGGGTGTCCATGTTGCCTTCTTATATAGTAATATCTGAACACCCCTATTGTTAATTAACTCCTCTAATCTTTTAGATGGATATCCTTATATCCTCCAATTCACCTTGTCCTCTTTATATCTTTGATTACTGAGATCTTGCCCCCCCACACTGTATACCAATAATGCTCACACACACCCAACCCTGGAGGGGATTGCCATTCAATGGCTCAATCGAGATGTGGGACTCATCTCACGTACTCCTCCTCTTGGTTTGCTTCTGTTAATTCTTGTTTGCACTGTGTTATGGTTAATTGTTTGTACTTTTGGGCACTGGGATGTATATTTCTAAAGCTGGAGCCTTATGAGTCACCTTTCTCCACCCTCATATTTTAAAAAGCCTGGGTTTGAAGGGCACTGCATACTGTACATGAGACAAACTTTGAAGTCTCTTCTAAGCATTTTTTATTTAGAGTTTAATTATTGCAAACGTGAACAAAATTAAGATTGTCTCTCTCAATGTAAAAGGACTTGGATCTCCCCCCCCCCCCAACATACCCAGGTTAATAATTATTTCAAAAAATTTAAACCAAGCATTGTTGTTGTTGTTTTTTTTACAAGAAATGCATAGAAAGGTCACGGGAAATGTTCTTGCCCAATCTCTTTTTGACTCGCAATATACAACTGGAAATTCTAAAAAAATCCAGAGGTGTTGCAATATTGTTTGATAAAACATGTCCTTTTCAGGTTGACAAGGTAATCCAGGACCCTTCGGGTCATTATTAATATGGAAAGGTATCCTGGCCAACAAAATCTTCACACTGGCCACATTTTACTCCCCAAACAATGACCTACATGCCTTTCTGGCTTCTTTATTACAAACCTTAGGGGAGATTGCAGAGGGCAATATTATTATAGGGCGTGATGCAAATAAGGTCCTAGATTGCACACTAGACAAATCACATCCCCCCAGAAAGATGAAAAAGAGAACATTGCCAGTATCTGATCTCTTACCTAGCCATGGATTTATAGACCCCTGGAGAGCTCTACATCTATCCTATAGAGGCTACACTTTTTATTCAAACACACACCACACCTATTATAGAATAGACTACTTCATCATTCCAAAATTATCCCTTCCTAACATTGTTGATGCATATGTAGAGTCTATCATTCATTCAGACCATGCAGCCACAACATTAACCTGGCAACTTGGACCTGATCTACCAAAAACGTATATTTGGAGATTCAATCCATATCTCCTCATGAATGAATGTTTTAAAAAATAGATTCAAGATGAAATTAAACAATTTTACCTTGAAAATAGATCACCTGAGATATCACCTGAGGCCTTATTATGGGATACCCTGAAGGCGGTCCTCAGAGGCTTATTAATTAAGAAAGGGGCTGCACAAAAGCAACTTAAAAGACCCATGAGGCAAAGCCTCCTTCAAGAGATAGAAAAGCTATCATTAGCTCATTAAAAAATTGCTCAATTCACAGGTATTCATTCAACTCCTGAAGGAAAAAAGGAGAGCTGGCAGCTCTTGACAATAGAGCTATCGCTCCCAGACTATGGAATGGCCTGCCGGACGAGATCCGTCTGATAACCACTCTTGCTGCCTTTAAGAAGGCAGTAAAGACGGATCTCTTCCGGCAGGCCTTCCCAGAATAATATCTGTCCACTGGGAGGGATAACTTGCTCACTTGCGAGTCCGAACTGTGTTTTAATTTAATCTTTGTTGTTTTAATTATTTTCTGGTTTAATCTTGTTTTAAGGGGTGGGAGGAGGGATTATGCTTGGAGGGAATGCTTTTAATTGTACTGTTTTAAAATGCTGTAACCCGCCCCGATTGCCTAGCAGAGGGGCGGGCTATAAATAAAACTTATTATTATTATTATTATTATTATTATTATTATTATTATTACCTTGCATTACACTAAATCTTATTACTATGAATTTAACAACGAAAATTCTCGATTCCTCACTAAAGCTGTCAAGCATAAGGTAGGGACAAAAACCATATCCACTTTCACTTCCTCTGAAGGAAATATAGTAAAAGATCATGACAAAATTATGAAAGAATTTCAAAACTTTTATTCTAAACTATGTACCTCTGAATTGCCACAAAATTTGGACAAAAAAATGTCCAAAATTTTGTCCAAAATTTGGACAAAAAAAGGACCAATTTATACAATCTCTAAATATGAAGAAGCTCAAAGATTCTCATAAATCATTGTTAAACAAACCTATTCATTCAGATGAACTAAAAAAGACAATATCTAAGCTGAAACAGAATTTCACCCCATCTTATTGCCCTTTTTTAACTCCATTCTTAATAATGCTCATGTGCCAACAAGTTGGCATAGAACCCGAATAATTCCAATCACAAAAACCAAAGAGGAATGCCCAGAAACTAAATCTTTCCATCCTATTGCACTCCTTAATCAAGATGCAAAAATATTTACTTCTTTTATGGCTTCCAGAATAAATGAGGTTTTTTTAGAATACATTGACCCTGAACAGGTGGGCTTCATGTCAGGCAGACACCTAGCAGACCCACTCTGCAGGGTACTTAATATCATCCACCATTCCAACCAGTCAAAGACTCCTCTAGCCTTACTTTAGCTTGATGCTTTAAAATTGACAGATTGGAATGGCCATTTCTTTTTTGGGTCCTCCAAGGAATGGTGTTTGGAGATGGCTTCATAAGAGCACTACACCTTATCTATGAAAAATCAGGGGCAACGGTGTTTGTCAATGGCCTCGACTCAACACCTTTTGCACTTTCCAGGGGCATCAGTCAAGGATGCTCATTGTCACCCCTCCTATTTGCACTGACAATAGAGCTCTTGGCTAACATGATTTGGCACAATCATTGGCCTTTGCATCAACAACCATAAGATTGAGCTTTATGCTGATGATGTGTTGATTTTTTTATTCCACCCAGAATTATTATTTCTGCCTCTAAAAAAGACAATTGAGTCCTTTGGTAGTTATTCAAGTCTAAAAATTAACTTTAACAAATCCATAGACCTGCTCTTCCCACGTCTTACTCTCAACCTCATTCTTCCCTCTCCTTCTTCATATTCTTCTTATCTCTTCCTTCCTCCTTCTTCCCATCAGTCTACAAATATTTAATACCTACACAAATAAAGGTACCGGTATCTATGATGGCTGTCACACATAAAAGAATAAGGCTGTGGGATTCTGGGAAATGTAGTGCAAATAATAAAAACTTTTCTGAGCAATTGTCTCAGAGGCCACAACAAGCTTTTGCCAAGTCTTATGCTGGTGATGACTGGACAAGAAAAGAAA